TGGGTTGTTTCTACCTTTTGGCTACCATGAAGAGTGCTGCTGTGAACATTCGTGTACATGTGTGTACATGGACATGTATTTAATATCTAATCCCACAGCCACCCTCTGGCAAAGGTACTAATCTTTACCGCATTTCACCCATGAGTTAGAGCCTGAGAGATCTGAAGTAACTTGTGTCAGGACACATAGCTTCTGAGAGACAGGGTCTTGAATCCAGGTCCTGCAGTCTTCTTTAATGAGCACAGGACTGTAAATTACATGTAAGGTCTGTCGTATTTGCTACTGTGTCTATGGCATCTAGCACTGTGTTATATGTAGTCAGCTCTTGACAGATATTTGTCCCAGGGGTGAATTAGTGATGTCTGTGTTCTTAGCTCCTGAACGAAAGGGTCACTCTAGTCCTGGGTCAGCCTTGTGCCTGTGGCTGCTTGTTTGGGGGCTTCTAGAGCAAATGTTTTCCTTGTCTAAATTTTGACTGCTGAATAAAATGGATTCAGACCGGCCTGCCTCTTCTTGTCCTTGAACCTGGGTCATGACCCCGAAGAGCAGCGTTTGGCTTTTCCCACATTCCCTAAGGCCTCCACAACCACCAGCTGTCAGATGTTAGGAAGACCTGGCACCTTTTACTAGATCTTCCTTAGAAGGAACTCCCAGAAGGAGGTGGCCCAGTTGTCCACTGCCCCTTCCTGCATGAGGTATCTAAATCCCTGACCTCTTTGCTTTGAGCCTGCTGTTCTATCCCATAGGAAACAAGCTCTTGACCTTGACATTAAAATGGGTTTTGAAATACCAGCAGCACATTTAACCTGTAGGCTGATTTTCCATCTTCTCTCTTTAGGGTCTGCAAGTGGATGATGAGATTGTGGAGTTTGGCTCTGTAAACACCCACAACTTCCAGTCGCTGCAGAACATTGGCAGTGTGGTGCAGCACAGTGAGGGGGTGAGTTGGGGGCTACTTGGTGCCTTTGTCTGTTCAGGTGTTTTAACTGAATACCATAGACCACGTGGCTTACAAACAACAGAAATGTATTGCTCATATTCTGGAGGCTGGGAATCCAAGATCAGGGTGCTGGCAGACTTGGTGTCTGGTGAGGGTCCCTTTCCATAGATGGCACTTTCTTGCTGTGTCCTAACATGGCGGAAGAGGGTAGGGAGCTCTCTGGGGCCTCTAATCCTATTCATAAGGTCTCTGCCCTCATGACCTAATGACCTCCTGAAGGCNTTGTCTGTTCAGGTGTTTTAACTGAATACCATAGACCACGTGGCTTACAAACAACAGAAATATATTGCTCATATTCTGGAGGCTGGGAATCCAAGATCAGGGTGCTGGCAGACTTGGTGTCTGGTGAGGGTCCCTTGTCCATAGATGGCACTTTCTTGCTGTGTCCTAACATGGCGGAAGAGGGTAGGGAGTTCTATGGGGCCTCTAATCCTATTCATAAGGTCTCTGCCCTCATGACCTAATGACCTCCTGAAGGCCGCACCTCTTGATACTATCATGTCGGGGGTTAGGATTTCCACATATGAATTTGGGGGGGATACAAACATTAAGACCATAGCACTTGGCATCTATCAGTAACCCTGGAATTGCCATGCCAGGAAACGTTGCTGGGGACTTTGACTGCTGCCTTCATGGTGCTGTTACCCTATTCAGAGCCTTTCACTTGCTGTTCCTTCTGCCAGAATGCTTTTCCTTTACAGGCTCTTAGCGTATGCAAGTTAAATTTTTTTTCTTTGTGGCTGGCCAATACAGGGATCTGAATCCATGACCTTAGTGTTGTAAGGCTGTTCTCTAACAGCTGAGCCAACCGGCCAGCCTGCAAATTAAAATTTTAATAGGTAATTTGAAAAGGTATTATTAATTTATACCCTGACAAAATAGTATGTGAGTGGACCACACATCATCATTGACCTTTTAGAATTTTTGCTAGAATGGCACCTTGTTTTAAGTTGTGTTTTCCTGATTACCAGTGAGGTTGAATATCTTTTTTTATATGTTCATATTTTCATTTCTTTGAATTGCCTATTTATGTTTTTTCCC